TCTTAATAGGAACAGGTCTGACCATTTTCCAATTTTGCCGGACTTAATGAGAGATTGGGTTAAGGTTGCCTCTCATTTTAAAATTTTGCAAATGTAGGCCTCTTTTCAAAGTGTCAATGAGCTAATCAAGGACACTTGGAAGAATAGGGTGATGGGTTGCCCAATGTTTATTCTCCAGAAGAAACTTAAAATCCTTAAATCTAGACTCAAGGAATGGAACAAATATACCTTTGGTAAAATTCATGATAATGTTAAGTTGGCAGAGGAAAACTTGAACAAGATTCATAATTAAATAATTGATTATGGCTATTCTGACACTCTTGACATCATGGAGAGAAAGAGGCTCGGGATCAACTTGATTTTGCTATTCATGTTAAGGAGATTCTTTAGAAAGAAAAAGCTAATCAGGAACACAAGGTTTTTCCACGTTGTTGCCAAGATCAAACAAACTACCAAGAGAATTTATAGCCATAAGATTGATGGAGACACTGTCACAAACCAAGAGAAAATCACATAGCATGTGGTAAAATATCATTCTGATCTCTTTAACAAAGCTTTTATTTTACATAAGGACAACTTAATTGAAGAGGACATTCCTCATATGATGAATGAAGAGTTCAACAATCTTCATACCATGCTAACAACTCAGGAGGAGATTCATTTCTCTATAGTAAGTTTGATAAAGAGATTGCCTCAAGACCAGATGGGTTTGGAGGGTTCTTTTTCTGAACCTTCTGAGATATTGTCAAGGATGATGAAGTTGGAGCAATTATATAGTTTCTTTTAGAGATGGTTAGATCAACCAAAACTATTATGCCAACAGTTTAGTGATGATTCCCAAGATTCCCATTGTTGAGTCTATTTAGCAGTATGTGTTCGTTGCTCTTGCAAAATTCAAACACAAGATAGTTATAACCAAGATAATTCCTGACATGTTGGATAAGGTTCTTCCATACATCATTTCTCTTGAGCAAAAGGACTTCGTCCAAGGCAGGCATATCAAATACTGAATTTGCTAAACATTTGAGGAAGTCAACCTTCTCAAGAATAGGAGTCATACTGGAAACTTAGTAATTAAAATATATATCTCAAAGGCTTTTGATATAATAAGTTAGAGTTTCATGGTCAAATTCTTGATGACTTTTGGGTTATGTGACAAATTTTATGAATGGATCATAGCCATTTTGAACTCTGCATCCATTTCTATTTCTAACAATGGAGTATAAAGAGGTTACTTCCATTGTCATAGTGGTTTTAGACATGGGGGCCGTTATCTCCCCTTCTCTTTTGTCTGGAAGAGGATTTATTAAGTAGACATGGGGGCCGTTATCTCCCCTTCTCTTTGTTCAATGCTCCCGAGATGTCTACAAAAGGGAAGTGGGTAATGAACTTCACATGGAGTTGTGAGCTAGAAAAGAGAAGATTGGTTACAATTGCTTGGTATAGGTGTTGCAAACCTATTGAGAAAAAGGGGTTTGGTATTAGATCCATCATAACCTTGAATGAAGCCTCAAATTTAAAACAATGTTGGGAAATGATGAATTCTGAGGAACAGTGGGATAGAATTATTAGAGACAGAGTCATTAGAGATGGAAACCATATAAAGTATCATATATTCTTTTCACTTTGGGGTAGCATTAAAAGCTCCTTTGAGGAGGTGAAACTCAACACTAGATGGTTGATAGAAAATGGCTGCAAGATTAGGTTCTGGTTAGATTGTTGGAATGAGTGTCTTTAACTGACTATTTGGGAATCACAAACCTGAACCATCAATTTCTCAAGAAAAGGGCCCGCTTGTATATTGTCAATCATTAGTGGCACCTTCCTTTGTCCATTCAGATGGCATTCCCATCTTTTGTTCCAACTCTTAACTAAACACACCTTCCTTTAGAAGATAGAAAGGATAAACGTATTTGGATTCCAATTAAGGATGTCGAGCTTACTCTCGAGATGGCCTATGATTACAAAGTTAATTCTTCTCAAGTTGTGAACTGGGGAAAACATATTTAGAATGCTCACATTCCATCTTCGAGATCTTTACTATTCTTCTCAAGTTGTAGCAGTCTGAAACTTATGAGCATCTTTTGTTCAAGTGTCCTTTGCAAGTAAAATTTGAAGGAATCTTGCTTCAACTCTCACTCATGGCATCTTATCAGTTGAGTTGGTGCATTTGCAGATGTATAACCAAGGACTCAGAACAAGATACTCCTGCCGAATACTCCTCACAAGGATCACCACCACCACCGTTCCATCCGTGCAGCCCTTGAGGGTTGTTTAAGCTTCTGTATTGGTCCTGGAGGGCTGTGACTGTTTATAATAAAATTGCAAAAGAATTTAACTTAGTTAGAGCATAAAATTGATATTCATGCTTCAAGTGTGGTCTATAACAAAATTATTTCAATTTAATTTGAAGTAATTGTCAAGCAAGGAAATTTTTTGTTTTTCTCGAGTACAAATCTAACGCTCATCATAAATACATGAATTTTCTAAATTGATCACATCTTTAATTTAGCATTAGAACACTAATATCCTACTTTGCTGCATCCTAGATATAGAACTACTGATAAAATCAGATTAGAACACTAGTATCTTACTTTTCTACTGCTACCGATATATAAGGCAACATGGTTTTTGTTATATTTAAGGCAACACAATGTCTTTAGGTCTTTCTTGATGATATTCTAGGCCAAAAGCTTAGAGAATTTCTTAATCAACTTTTTGATACTTTTAGGTGCCTAATAAAATTTCTTTTATGCTCTCTGCTTTTAGAAATATATATTCGGACGCATCATTTTTTTTTACGCTGGATGCTTCCAGAAATATATTTACAGAAAAAGTTATGGAGATGCATCTCCGAAATTTTATCAGAACAAATTTTTTTTATAAAAAAACAAATTTTGTTGATCGCAGATAAAAATTAACGGTTGCAAATGAATATAAAATGACATATATCTGTAAATAAAATTATATATATATATATATATATATATATATATATATATATATATATATATATATATATATATATATATATATATATATATATATATATATATATATATATATATATATATATATATATATATATATATATATATATATATATATATATATATATATATATATATATATATATATATATATATATATATATATATATATATATATATATATATATATAAAGTAATATGTGATAATCATCGTCAAAAAAAACAATACACCAATGTCATCAAAAAAACATCACAGTCATTATTGTGTGTGTCTGACAACACCTGCATCCCCTCCTCCGCCTATGGCTCTGCCGCCTCGTCTGCCTCTCCCGCCTCCTCGACCGTCCGACCTGCGTCCTCGGCCATCGATCCCACCCTCAGGGAAGAAACTAGTGGCAATGTCTGTCCGCCCCATCTCAACTATCTGACGACAGCGAGGCAGGACATACTGAGTGTGGTCCAACTGAGACTGCTGCTCCTCTAAGATCTCATGATGAGCTGGTCTGGACGGTGATCCTTCGACAGTGGGTACCATGTAGGGGTATGAGACGGTGAAGAGCCACATGATGTAGCCATCAACACAACTTCAGTCTGTCGGCGCTCTGGTCGCCAGAGTCTCGCTAGGTATCATGTGTCTCTGGTAGTCGGCATAGATCTCCTCTATCTGCATACGGGTCAAGCCGAGAGGAGAGAAGACAGTTAAATACAAATAAATTAAAAAAGAAAAAAAATTAACATTTTTTTACTTTCGGATGTATACATGCGGAAAACTTCTATATATGTATTTACGGAAGAACCCAAAATTCAAAAAATTTGATTTGTTCCGGAGCTGCATCTACGAAATTGCCCTAACGTTAATTTGTTCCGTAGATGTAGCTCCGGAACTTCCTGCAACTCTAACAACAACGACAGTGGCGTCCCCTACCCAGGAAAATTGATTTTTTGAAGCACTGATCGTCCGTTTCAGCCAACAAACAATACCTACATAATCTTTAAACTATATTTCTAAGACTATCTAACGATTGTCACCCCTAAAACTATATTCTAACTCGTTTACGAAAAATACTCGAAAATACCTCAGAAATTCGAAAACTTATTGATTATATCGAGCTTTGAATGATTTGAAGTGTATTGATCGTTGAGATGAATGCTCCTTATCGAACTTGATTGAAAACAATTAAGTTTGGTGGAAAAGTTTTTTTGATGGTTGAGAAAGTTTGAAGAATTAGAGAGTGAGAAGTTAAAAAATAAAAAATGAGAAAGGAGAAGGGACTCTGACGCAGATATATTCCGATTTGTTCTAGAGCTATATAAATAAAAATATTTTGTAAATGTAACTCCGAAAAAAACTAACGTTAAATAAATAAAAAAGTGCGTCCGAAAAAACCATAGAATATTACTTAAAAACGGGATTAGAAAATCTCAAAGAAGAGTCTTTTCTATATCATTTCACATATGGTAGCCTACTTTTTTTGATTGTTTTGATTTTACCTAAACCTATGGCCGTGAATTGTTTGGACCACTTTTTTTAATTAGTATTTCCTAGAATAGATATATACAAATAAAGATAATTTGATATATACAAATAAAGATAATTTACCTCAACACAAATAGAGGACAGAAAAGCCAACAAAAGAAGGATTGATAAGACAAATATAAGTGTAGATTAAAGATCCTTAATTCTGTTTCTTTAGTAAGTAAAGAAAATTAATAAAGAAAATCAAGAGCTAATTCTTTTTTTAAAATCAACAATTAATATAATATTTTAGATAAAACTTCCCAAGATTGTGAAAGCAAAAGCAAAAAACACTCCCGGATGATAATAACTGGACAGAAGAACTTAAAATAGAAACGAAGAGAACTTTCAATACACCAGTAACAATAATCATCATTGACATAAAATAAACCAACAAAGGTTTCCTCACGAAGGTTGCTAATGTATCTTTCCTAATCACTAAGTTTAACTCAAATGCAACCCATGAAACCAATTTCCTACTAATAATATACTTCTCACTTCCTCTTCTTAGTTGGTGGCTGCTGGGGTGTATCATCATCTTCCTCGTCTTCATCCTCTTCGTCTTCATCTTCGCCGTCTTCTTCATCTTCCTCATCACCATCGTCGCCATCATCATCACCATCGTCGTCATCATCACTTCCTCCTGCACCATTAGCCTCAGGATCATCATCGGGATCCCCTTCTTCTTCACCTTCATCACCTGAGAAGTCTTCATCTTCTCCATCATCGTCCTCATCTTGTACATCCTCGTCATCGTCGTCATCGTCATCATCCTCTGTATCACTCTTGTTTTCCAAGTTTGCAGCTTTCCTCCCTAAAAGGTGTTCCAAAGGAAACCTGAAAAGGATTAAACATGCATCAGAATAATTAACAAATGTATTGTTTACCTTTAAATCAGAGGCGCATAAGTTTACTCTTACCTTGAATCCATTGCGGTCAATTTTGGAGACACTAAACTGGTGAAATTAGCCAGCAGATATCCAATCTGGAAGAAAACAAACAGAAGTAAATAAAAAACATTTACCAAATTAGGTGCAACAGAATACAAAAACCACGGATTCGTTAGTTTAATCTCATCATCAAATAAATGCTTTAAGACCAAATATACCCATGGCCATGACATAGATGAGCACACTTATCATACAGCAGTTCATTTGTACATAGTCAAAATGAAACAATAGGGAAAAACTTATAGCTTTTGATTACAGTACGAATCATGTCAATGGATTCTCTAAAGGGTTAAATTATGAGACAGACAACAGCACCCTTGAACAACGTAGTGGTTAATAGATGCAAAAAGCAACAGCAATTGCTCTTTAACAAAACACGCAAAAGGGGAGGGGGAATAAGTGGAGCACAGTACTTATGTCCTCTATTTTCTTCCATACGAGCAAGATTCTGAAACTCAAGAGTCAAGGTGGAGCCTTTGTAGACTTGCTTTTTAAATATATAAATATTTATTAGAGACTAAAATTGATCAAAAATTTTACATCTTAAAACCACTAATAAGTATTCTAAGTCCGGCATATGAATAACTAGACCTTATATACTCATGGATTCATAAACTACTGGTAAAATGAGTTACCAATTTTTAGCCAACCCCACTCAGTGGGATAAGGCTTGGTTGTTGTTGTTGTTGTTACCTAAACGCGTAAGAGGTTATCCTAAGAAAAAAAGATTTTAGAAGTGAGTTGACTTGTTTTTGTGATCTAGAGTTGTAAACACACAAGAGTTTAACAGCATTGGTTAGGGGAGCTCATGATCTTCTTGCACAACACACTTCCTTCTTAATTAACTAACAATTGTATGTTAGATAAACAGGTCTTTCCTAGCTCGAAGGACCAACTTGAAGGATTAGTCTTTGCAGTTACGCGAAGAGGATACACGGTTTCTACCTGAAGAAAAAAGAATGTTCCTTCCCTAGCCATAGAATGAACAATCACATACTATATTTAAGTATGCACAGAAGGCAAACATCACCTATATAAAAAAGTTTATAACATTGGGATTAAGTGAGTGGCTAAGTCTCAGATTGACTAGAAAGTAAGGAAATGTTGTGTTGACACATACTCTCATTGTCTTAAGGTTAGGGGGATATGCATGTCAGATTCTGAACACTTAGCCCATTGACCCTCCCGGCGCTCCCCAAACTCCCCAACACAGCAAAATATTTTGCTTAAACCACTCCAGAGTTAGCAGAAATAAAAACAAAGCATCTAATAATAGATTTACTAAACATAACGCATAAACGGTACAGCTATATAGAGCAAAGGGGGTTGAATCTGTGAAACAATTTTACACACATTCATACAACTTACATGAAACGCAATTGTTAAAAATCTTCACAGTAATTAGAAAGAAAAACAAACAAACAAAACCATTCCCTTGGGTAACACAGCAAAGCACATAGCTCAAAGCAAGCAAATAAAAAAACCCTAATTTCGAAACAGCTTACTGAGTCAACTGGATAAAATGAACAGTATAACTAAAAAAAAAAGTTGAATTAGAGAGACGGTTTAGAGAGAGAAATACGAGAGCGAGAGATTGAGCAGCGGCAAGAAGAGTGTCGGCGGCCATAGCTTGGAGAAGAGAGGGAAAGTCGACGACGGAGAGATGTGGAAGGTGAGACTCTGTTGCAACTGCCATTGCTGAGTGTGAGAGAGAGAGAGAGAGAGAGAGAGAGAGAGATGAGTCAATAGGTTTAGTTGGTTTTGAATTGAAACTGAGAGTAAACCCTGAACTCAACTCAATCTCAGAACCGTTTAGGGTTTTTCTGAACCAAATTGCTATATTGCATATTCCCACCCCTGATTTATACACTTCCACCCACGCTACATATTTTATTTTTTTATGTATATTAAATACAAATATCTATTTATTTGTTTTAAAAAAATTAAATATGTCAAGGGTACTATAAATAATTCATCATTCAATTTTTAATGGAGGAAAGTGAAACAGAGAGGAAATTTTATATATATATATATATATATATATATATATATATATATATATATATATATATATATATATATATATATATATATATATATATATATATATATATATATATATATATATATATATATATATATATAATGAATAGTATAAAAGTTGATATAAAAGAAAATATAAAAGAGTACATCGAGAAAATTGACATAAATAAACATAAAAATAAAAATTATTAAAACAAATAAAAAATTATAATAATTATAATTTATATTAAATGCAAAAGTAAAAATAATAATTTAAAGGTGAAAAATAATTATAATAAATTGATAAAAATAATAGAGAAAAATCACAGGAACACATAACAAAATAGTAATTTTAAATTACTAAAATAAAATGGAGGATATTTTAGTAAATATAATAATTTATTAAATATAAAAATTCATATTTCCTCCCCCTCCAAATCCTCTCGATTTGGGGTGGCAAAAAAACGTGATTTAAAGGAATTTTGCTTCTCTCATATCCCTTCATCTCTCCCTCCTAAAAATTGAACCAAAAATATTTCATTAGAAATATCTCTTTCTCTCCTAAAAATTAAAGCAAACATATTTCATTAGAAATATCTTCCTTCTCTCATCCATCTACTTCGAACCAAACACACTCTAACGGACGTTGGTGTGTGGCACATCATGTGACATGCCACATCACTTAGAATCAACATACAAAAAAACTAGCTAAATTGTGAGGTTACAAACCTTCCTAAATTCTCTCAGACATTTCATCAAATATCTTTTGAGAAATCTTTCAAGTGTTTTTTTTTTGTCACTAACTTGTGTATAATTGAAGGATGAAACATCATTGCTTTGTTCACTCGATCACTATTCATCAACACCTTTGTTGCTCACACTCATCAGCTAACAACATCAAAACCATTTTAAACCTGTACAGGTTATGACCCAATTTGGTATCCAAAGGAAACCATTTCTTCAATTTCAGAGTTTTCTTAGCACCTACTTCATTTTGAAGCACACTCAAAAGTCCAAACACCAAACACCTTCCATATAAGTTATAATTGATAAAGCTAGAAAAATTGAAGATGCAGAGATTCAAAACTCTGCTACCACGAACTTGATTCTCTTCTCCCTCTTTTTTTCTCTAATTGTCAATTTTCTCCACTCAACCAGATTATGTTGAACAAAATGACAACGACGAAGATTCCCAAAACAAATTCAATTTTCTCGTTATTCACTTATCAACATCAACATCATCAACATTAATATTATTTAATCATGTAACTTTTTTTTCATTTTCAGTAGATGATTTTGTTATTTGGTTTAGATTTTGATTGAAGGAAGAGCGAAATTGTGTATAATAATTCTTAATAGATCATCATCTTTGAATACACTTATTACTTCAATAGTATAATTGTTGCACCCCAAATTTGTCCTACTTTTACCTGATTTTTAGTGCCACTTTATTTTGAATGAACAAAATGACATAATTGGCAAGAGACCGTGTGTGAGGAGTTGTGAGTGTGAGAGGTCGACAGTTTGAATCCCACTTTTTTCATTTTTTGTTTTTCTTTTATTTTTATTCTAACTTTTCTATTTTCATAAAAAAATAATAATAATAACAAAAATAGTTTTTTTATTATTTAATTATTATTTTTGTATTTTATTTAAATTATTTTTTAAAAAATATTATTTTTTCACTTTTTTCCATATTTTTCATAAAAACATCCAAAAATCATAAAATTAAAAATATTAGAAAATATTTTATTCTGTTAAGTTTGTTTTAGTTTGTTTTTTTAGCTTTGACTAATTATTTAAGTTGAGCTTCAAAATAGGCATTCGGTTATAGTTAACCCTAATTTGTTACCGATATAAACATAAGTGAGAGGAGAAAACTGGGGGAGATCAAAAAATCAAGAGCATGTCATCAGAGGAAGAGGGAATTTTTCGGAAAAACCCTAAAAGGCTTGAATTCATCATCGGCCAAGCCGGCGAACAAAAAGTTCCAACGGCAGAGGATCAGTTCATTCAACGTCATCGTTGTTACCGTAACCTTTCTTTTTTCTTATATTTACATAACTTTACTATTTTTCTATGTTGTTTGGTTCATTGATTATAGATTAAAGGGAAGACAAGGAGAAAAGACTCTGAACCATGGAGAACAGCCGCCGCCGGTTGGGAATAAAAAAGGAAAGGTTTTTTCAAACCCAAAAAAAGGAAAAGGTTTTTCTCAAACTCAAAAAAAAAAGGAAAAGGTTTTTTCCCAAACCCTCGAAACAACACAGCAACACCATCCACCTATCCTCACTCCTTTTATTTCTATTTCTAATGGTGTTGGAGATAAGAATGCTCATATTTGATGAAATGCCTGAGAGAATTTAGGGAGGTTTGTAACCCCTGTAATCTAACTAGTTTTTTTATTTTAACTTTAAGAGACGTGGCGTGCCACATCAACTTCCGTTAGAGGAAATAGATGGTAGGGATTAAAATTGAGGACAAAAACTTTTAGAATTACCATTATTCGAAGAAAATTTTTATAGGAACTAAAATTGAATGATGAGTTATTTATAGGGATGAAAAATACATTTAATCCTTTCAAGTATTAGATTGTGATAAAATTTATAAAATGTGTAACTATATATTTTACGGGTCCCGTTTAAGGTCAGAGCAAAACTCTATGAATTTCAATGAACACGAAAATCATTTGTAATAAGCGGAATTTAAATTTGAAACCTTAAGAAGAGTAATCCAAGTCTTCACCAATATGTATAGAGGTGTAAGCCAATAAAAAGATCAACTAAACAAATAATCCAAACCAAACTGGAAAAAACCCTGATTATTTCTGGTTTTGTTCAAAAATCGAAGTGAATTAATGAAAATTATTGTGATTTGGTTTGATTCTCGATTTTAGTTTTTAGGAAACACCAAACCTATGAACCGAACCAATGATTATATTATCTACTTAATCTTTAATTCAACCCATTATTAAGCCCAAATTTTGTATCTACCTAACCATTCTCCATCTTTGTTTATGTTTTCTTACTTTCAACAAAACATACAGTCAAAACCAAACTCCAAACATAACAAGTAGAACTATAAGTCACAAAACTAGCTTTCACCAAACAAGTGTTCTAGCCAGCCGCCATCATCGTTACTCTTGCTACCGTGGTTCTGAAATGTTATGGTCGTCTTTTTTGTGTTTAAGTTCTCTTTGTTTGCTTTCATGTATTTTTTTTATACCTTTTTTGTTTCTTTTCCTTCAACAAAATTCCTTCTAAGTTTGTTAAAAAATAGTTTTGATGTGTATTTAAGGTGTGAAACATGTTAATTTATGTGTATTGAAACCTTTTGTTATTGTTGTGTTTTATTTGTTAAGCATTCAAATTCTTTTCCAACCTTATGATGTCAAGTGTCAACTTTTGCATTTGGTAGTGAGCTTATTTCATGATGCAATGAAAATCATATCACTTTTTCGTATGGATTAAAAACAACTTCTAAGTTGTTTGAAAAATAAAACATGAAAAAAATTGTATAAAATATATTATTTAAAAAAATAATAATAGCATAAAATACACTGAAAACATGATAGTGGAGTAAATACATATGAATATAATGTTTGAAAAAAAATTGTTGTAAACTGATCTACTGAACCAAACGATTAGTTTAGTTCAATTCCATTTTGGAAAAACATTAAAAATCAAATTAAACTAAACCGATTGAGATATCATTAGTTCAAACATTTTTTTACCAAAAAACGATTTAAACTAAACCGATTACACCCTAACTATGTCAACTTTTGAATTATTTGGATGTTTGATATAATAATAATTATTAAAACATTTTTTATTTTGAAATATTTGAAAAAAAAGTTAAATAATCATTTTTATTTTTTATAATTTACCGTATAATTGAAGAATTTTGGATAACATTTGTAGATGATATTATATTTTGTAATTCATTGATGAGAAAAAAGAATATATAGTGGCTGTGTAAAATATTTTTTTATTGTCAACCAATGACAGAAGTGTATTTCGGCACATCACATTTTTATTTTTAAAATATTGTTATAATTTGACATTTTAAAATAATCTAATTAAATATATATATAATATTTCTTTATATTGATAATGCACTACCTTTAAACTCTTAATTGATTTACTATTTTATTTAAAGTGTGGGTAATAAATACAAACATTGTATTTAAGTATCTAAAAGTACATAAGTACATTTATTGGTAAGTTTATTTTAGGGTTAACTAGTAACAAATAGGTACACGTATTTTTTTTTAGTTTACAAAAATATTTATATTCATGATGTATTTTTTTTATTTATAAAAATATTTATATCAACAATATAATTTTTTTTATTTATAAAAATATTTGTATCAACCATACATTTTTTTTATTTATAAAAATATTTACATCAAAAATACATTTTTTCTCATTTATAAAAATAATATCGTTTATTAAAATATTTGAAACAATGATACATTTTTTACCTATATAAAAATTAATTTTGTTTTAGCTTCTGTTTATAAAAATATTCGTATTAATAATATGTTTTTTTCGTATATAAAAATAAATTTGTTTTGTCAAATATTTGTATCGGCGACTAATTAAAAACTATTTAATATTATTATTAAATCATAAATTTTAATTAAAAACAACTAATTAATATGTTGTTGTGATG